AGTAAAAATCCAAATCCTGGGCCTTCAGCACCAAAATATAAGCTGACATTCAAGTCATAATGAACCACAATGTGATGTAAGTTCTGGTTGTTGAGTAGGAGTTGTGAGTAATTCTAGCTTTTAAAGTAGAAGTAAGGTCTTTAGTTTGCGTTTAGTCCTTTTTTCTCTCTTTAATTTAAAAATAATTTGTTAAGTATAAGATTTGTAGTGGTATAAACAAAGTGTTAAAATTAAGTGAAAAGGGCAGTGAATTCTTCAAGTGCAAAAAAACTACAGTAACTAGTTATTAAATTAAATGAAATTTGATAGTGTTAGTAATATTGGTGAGATATTGTTTCTGTAGCATGTGGGAGCTGTTGGACACCATCCAGATGAACACAGTTGCTATAAATAATTGCAGCTTAAAGAAATTCACACTCCTCTGATTAGATAATTCAAATTTGCACTGTGATCAGGGATAAGAAAGTCTAACAGCAGGTGAGGCAGGCATAGGAGCCAATGCAGTAGCATCCAAGGGGCTTCTACCCCTGCAATTATCCACAGTTAAGAGGGTCTTGCAAGCTTTGTGGATGAGAGTAGGAACTGCAGGGAGAGTGAGTGAACTGACAATAGTATTGTAATGCAGGGGGAGGAGAGTTGGGGGAAGAAATAGGAATGTAGTAGTGGTAGGAGAGAGTGTAATTAGGGGCATAGATACTGTGCTCTGCAGCTGTGAACTGTGTTGCCTGCCTTGCACCATGATTAAGGCCATCTCTTCAGAGCTGGAGAGGAGCTTGGGATTGGAAGGGAGGGTCACAGCTACCATCGCACACGTTGCTATCAACAGCATGGATAGGACTAGAAATGAGGTTCTGCTGAATGAATTTCAGGAAATAAATTAAAATACAGAACGTCCAAGGTAATAATCTCTGGTTTACTACCTGAGCCATATGCAAAAATGACATAGAGTAAATAAAGTCAAGGAGATGAACGTAGGACACAACTATTGGTGCAGGAGGAATGGATTTCTATTCATGTAACATTTATAGCAGTACTGGGATGGAATGAAGGAATAAAAAACAATGTTGCTGGAAAAGCTCAGCAGGTCTGGCAGCATCTGTGAAGGAAGGAACAGAGTTAATGTTTCAGGTCTGGTGAACCTTCCTCAGAATAGGCTGTATTACTGTTTCCAGGGCTGCACTTTATTATTAATTCTTAATAAAATACTTCTGTGTTTATTTTTATTCTAGGTCCTGCGGAATGCAGTGTGGCATAAGTGAGTTTACTGTATCTCAGCACATAAATTTGTGACCATGATGGTATCACTGTTTTTCCCTTCACAGATGCTGCCAGACCTGCTGAGCTTTTCCAACAACTTTGTTTTTGTTCCTGATTTTGCAGCATCCGCAGTTCTTTCGGTTTTTATCTGGGATGGAATGAGCTTTGCTTGAACCATGCTGGGACCAGTGTCTTGGCAAATCAAATCATGGGCTGCAGTGAGGCATTTGAAATAGAGAGGGGTGGAAAGGGTTGTGGAGAGGAGATGATTACATGATGCGGTCGTATTGTAAAGTAGCTATTTAGGAAATTATAGAGTTGGACAGGAAGGAAAAGAACTTGCAAACATAAAGACTAACAACGAATATGGCCACAAGGTGAAAAAAATGTTAAAAAGTAAAGTTAATTTCCACTTTACTTAAATCACATAATATTCTGAATAACAGCACAAATAGCAGTTCATGGATCATATATCCATTGTAGAGACATGGCTAAAAAACAATCTGTAGTTGGGAGCTAAATATACAAGCTTTTGTGAATATTTGAAAGGATAGGCAAGAAGGAAAGGGTGATAGGTAGTTTAGTTAGTACAAGATTAAATAAGTATGATTGTGAGGAATGATCTTGGATTGTAAGATGTCGAATCCATATGGGTATAAGAAATAACAAGGAAAAGAAAACACTAGCAGGAGCAGTCTATTGGTCCTCTAACACTGTGATACTGTAGTTCCCTCAGAGTACAACGGGTTCTTGATCAGATGGGCCAATGGGCCGAGGAGTGGCAGATGGAGTTTAATTTAGATAAATGTGAGGTGTTGCATTTTGGAAAGTCAAATCAGGGCAGGACTTATACACTTAATGGTAAGGTCCTGGGAAGTGTTGCTGAACAAAGAGACCTTGGAGTGCAAGTTCATAGTTCTGTGAAATTTGAGTCGCAGGTAGATAGGATAGTGAAGAAGGAATTTGGTATAGGAGTTGGGAAGTCATGTTGCAGCTGTACAGGACATTAATTAGGCCACTATTGGAATACTGCATGCATTGTTTTTCAGCTGTAGGAAGAACGTTGTGAAACTTGAAGGGGTTCAGAAAAGATTTACAAAGATGATGCCAGGGTTTGAGCTATATGGGAAAGATTTAAAAAGGACCTAAGGGGCAAATTTTTCATGCAGAGGGTGGTGTGTGTATGGAATCAGCTGCCAGAAGAAGTGGTAGAGGCTGGTACAACTGTAACATTTAAACAGCATGTGGATGGGTATATGAATAGGAAGGGTTTAGAGGGATATGGGCCAAATGCTGACAAATGGGACTAGATTTATCTAGGATATCTGGTTGGCATGGACAAATTGGACCAAAGGGTCTGTTTCCCTACTGTATATCTTTATGACTCTAACTGTGTTCAAGAAAATGGATTACATTTGCCGCATGTGTATATGGGCCAAATGCTAGCAAATGGGGCTAGATTTACTTAAGATATCTGGTCGGCATGGACAAGTTGGACCGAAGGGTTTGTTAACATGCTGTCCTTCTCTGTGATTCTATGACAGAGAATAAATCAATAGATAATTAAGATATGTACGAAAGGCTGCACATTAATCAAGGGTGAATTTAGTCTCCATATAGATTGGTAAATTGAACTGCCAGAAGTAGGCATGAAGAAGAATTGATAGAGCGTGACGTTTCTGAAGAAGGTTCCCAAACCGAAATGTCAACTTTCCTGCTCCTCTGATGCTGCCTGACGTGCTGTGTTCCTCCAGCTCCACACTGTGTTATCTCTGACTCCAGCATCTGCAGTTCTTATCATTTCTGAGTCAATTGAGCGTGTTTAGGACAGTTTCCTAGAAGAATATATCATGGATACAAACAGGGATCAGACTATTTTACACCTGGTAGTGTGTAATGTGTTAAATGATCTTAGAGTAAAACACCTTCCTAGGAAACAGCAACCATAAAATGGTTGAATTTAGCGTTGAGATTGAGAGTGAGTAAATTATGTCGGAAACAACAGTGCTAAAATTAAATAAAGGAAATTAGAAAGTAATGAAAGCAATGTTGATGCAAGTGGACCAGAAAAGAAGTTTCACAGCAAAGACAGTTGATGAACAATTGCAGACATTTAAGAAAATCTTTCATGACTCTCAACAAAAAGTGCAGAAACAAACCAAGATTAATTGAGGAAGTTAACAATAACATCAAATTAAAGGAAATAAAAGCAGGCAAAGATTAGAGGTAGGCCAAATGAATGGGAATATTTTGAAATCTGACAAAAAGAAAGGAAGAGAAAATGCTTGAAAACGGTGGAGTTTGATTCCTGGCACATTCTTTTTTTTATCAGGATCATGACAATTGGCAAGAAACTAAATTGAACTATTTATGAAAATATTGTGCCTAAAAGAGCAGATCAAAGGATTTCTGAGGCAAACAATCCATCTCCAGACTCCCGAAAGCCTATCCACTATTTAGTAGTCGCAAAGGTTTATCACTATTCTGATGGAGTGCTGCCAATGTGTTTAGCCTTGCTTTAGGCAGGAAAAATCAAGACCTTCAGGAGCAACTTGTTCAGAAGATACAGTTTATTTGCTACTTGACAACATTTTTGTTTCTAGCATCCTGTAAGCTAAATTGAATTTCTCTTCCCTGATTCTTCATGTTAACACTTAACATCAAAGACAGAAACAAGGGAAGAACACTATCAAAAAAAGTAAACACACTTCACAAACTATGTTAAATGCATTAGTTATTTACCAAAATAATTTGTTTTTCTATGTCTACCAATTGTATAGCCCAGGTTGGATATATTGGAAGATCAATTCTCATATTATTACTATTAATTGTCATAACAGTTCCCTGAAATTGTTTTCCAAGGACTCAAGGTAATTTGAGCAAAGTTAAACTAGCCTAGACTTGACCACACAATAATCAGACTCCGCTGTAGGGGTTACTAAACTTGAAATTCATGTGGGATTCCCCTTACTTTAATTATGTTTTTCTCATTTGTGAATAATAATCCAATATAAGAAGAGAAATCTGCTCTGATGCCAACTACCAGCAACAGACAATAACGGCAATGTATTTGTTGTGTTTGCTATTGCTTGTTTTAGTGGCTTCTATGTTTGCTAAAGACAATCAAAGCTGCAAACTTCAAGGAAGGTTTAGTTTGCCAGCGCTTTCGCAAGGTGGAGACATCATCATCGGCGGAGTTTTCCCCATTCATTACCGAAGAGAGCTTCCAAAGACTTCTTACCAAACTCAACCAGATACTCCAAAATGTATAGAGTGCGTGAAGTCTACCTGATTATGTTATTGAGAAAACAAAGGGACTGTGAGAAGAAATTCCAGGGAGTAGTGCAAACTGGCTGAAGACAAAGAAGGGGAGAGATGCACAAAAAAGACAGGGGTCAAAGCTTTTACGAGTTTGGGAAAGGTTGGGGCTAAAGGAGGTGCTGTTACCAATGTGGACAATTTACAATGACTATACATTTCAATTGTGCCTAAACTAATTTAAATTTATTTCAGATAGTCGAAAATTCATGTCTGACTTAGTAAAATAATAAGTTGCAATATTTATGTATTTTTTCTCAGTATGTAGTCAATCCAACATTTTTTTTGAGATGGGCAATTACGATTGTATAAATGCATGTGCTCAGAATGTCTTGCTGGTATGCTTAGTGCATGTCAAGCCCTGCAACATAAATATATTTAATTATGTGCATTTTTCAGATTCAAATCTTTTGTGTTTCCCACAGTTTTAATCTGAGAGCTTTTCGCTGGGCTCAGTTGATGATTTTTGCTATTGAAGAAATTAATAATGACACAATACTACTACCCAATATCACTCTGGGTTATAAAGTTTATGATTCCTGTGCCACACCAGCATTGGCTCTTAGAGCAGCCCTGACAATCCTTAATGGTCAAGAGGAAAATGTTACACTTTTGAAATGTGATGAAGTTTCTTCGGTGCATGCACTTATTGCTGATGCTGGCTCAACACAATCCATAGCAATCGCCAGGACAGTGGGGACTTTTGGAATACCAGTGGTAAGTAGCAAAGCACTTAAAATGAAGCTCTTATCAACTTTCTCAGTAGCATGGAGGTCAAGGGTAGTAGTGGCACTTGAAGATTGAGGCAAGTACTTTTTTTCCAGACAGAACTTTCAAGGAACGCAGAGCATCAACAGGTAAATGGAGCTAAGGTAGCGATACATTAAATGTTGAGCAGGTGTAAAATTTTGTATGGACTTCTGTTTCTTGCATCCATAAGTCAGTCTGAGCCATATTGACAAAAAATCGATCCAGTCTGATCACCAGTTTCAGCTGCGTTAATCAAACTGAGGCAATGTCAAGGGTTCGACAATAATCATTCTAGCAGCAGGTTAGAAAAATAAATATTGTCCAGAGTTGAGGCATGGGCCTTGCTGGTAGGCTGTGTGAGGTGACGTTGGGAAGGATGGGTTTCACATTCTTGTAGCTAGCACATACACCATGTCAAATGAACAAATCAAAATGTCACAAGCTGAGATTTTGGACAGCAACCATCTGACTTGGAGTTGTATTTTCACATGTGGGTGGAAAAGAATGGGAAGAAAGAAATTTATTCATCAAAGCTATGAAACTGAATGTTGGAAAATTTAAATAAATCAATCCTGCATTCTACATTGCACGAACAATGTTGCCCTTTGGTATCTGCAATCTAATGGATACTTAAAACAAAAGAATGAAAATGTCTGTGAAATACAATTTTCCCTTTATGTGCAAGGGGGTTCAGGGACAACGTGAAATAACACTGATGGAATCTGTATTCAAGTCCAATGCAAGGAAATTGGATGAATGCCTTCCTTCTTAGAGTTCTATGTGAAATTACTTTGGTGAAATTCTTAGTTTCAGTTCATGGAGTCAGCCTACAGTCCGAATTGGCAACAAATGCTAATCTCACTCATTTTCTGCCATGGGAAAAAAAAAGGGTCCCGACCCGAAACATCAACTTTTCTGTTCCTCTGATGCTACCTGGCCTGCTGTGCTCCTCCAGCTCCACACTGTGTTATCTCTGACTCCAGTATCGGCAGTTCTTACTATTTCTCATATTGGTTTGGTGGATTGCATTGAGAGATATTGTTAAATCAAAGCTTTGGTTGGCATCTAACCTGAGATTTTAATATTGCCATTCTGAAAGGAAAAAACAATTTTTGTCCTTGTACCAACATCTGATTTTAATTTCTGAAATAGTTCCTAAAACTGTCCGATTTAGATGACAGTGTACAAAGTATTGTAATCAATCATGTTGGCCAATATCTGAAAGCATTCTTTTACTATTCACATTTCTGTTATTTAACATTGACTGGGGTCTTCAATAAATTAGGGAATGCACTGTTAAATGAGAATATTGTCTTAAATTGAAAATTTGGCCACATTTAAAGTTCATAAATGTTAAGGCTGTGTACGTGAGCTAATGTGCAAAGGAATAGTATAGCGAGATTTCACCTTCCAACCTGTGCATCAGGCATCCATTATAGAAACCCACTGATTTTACTTTCTATTGAATTCAATGGAAATTGACTTGGGCGAGGTGGATAATATTTAATGCAATTTTGAGCTTTGGCCGTAAATTGAAAATCTATTCCCCAACTTCTTAATAGATATTTTGAAGACAGACTTTGATCATAACAAAAGTACTGAATTAAAATGTGTTTCTTTTTGATATTTTCACAGATTAGTTACTTTTCTTCGTGCATGTGCTTGAGCAATAAAAACCAATTCCCAACCTTTTTCCGAACTGTACCCAGTGATTATTTCCAAGTCACGGCATTTGTGCAGCTTGTGAAACATTTTGGTTGGACCTGGGTGGCAGCGTTTGGATCCAATGATGATTATGGACACTTGGGAATTTCGACCTTTGTGGAACAAGTCACAAAAGTTGGAGTCTGCGTTGCTTTCTCTGACTTTCTTCCCAAAGTTTATGACAGGGAGAAAATCCTACACCAAGTCAAGCTCATTAAGAGGTCAAACGTCAAAGTTATTCTTGTCTTTGCTCCTGAGATAGATCTAAGCTTCTTGGTGGAAGAACTTGTGCGGCAGAATGTCACTGGGTTGCAATGGTTGGCAAGTGAAGGCTGGAGCACAGCAGCACTGCTCTCAACAGCAGGCAATTCTGAAACTTTGGGTGGGACATTGGGTTGGGCAATTCGTAGGTCTGATGTTCCAGGTATTAAACAATTCCTGGTTAGGCTCCATCCATCTAAGTATCCGAACAATGCATATATTAAGCAGTTTTGGGAGGCTGTGTTTCATTGTACATGGACACCATGCAACGACACAGGAGAAACAGGGCTTGGGCCTTCAAAACAAGAGTGCACTGGGCAAGAAAATTTAAAAGACATCCATAGCGTTTTCACTGATGTATCACAATTGAGAGTTTCCTATAATACATATAGAGCTGTTTATGCTGTGGCCCATTCTATCCATAATATGATGCTGTGCAAAAAGGGCCAAGGGCCGTTTACCAATAAAACATGTCCAGACATTTCAAATCTTAAACCTTGGCAGGTAAGTTATCTATTAATAAAAATTACATCTTAAAGCATCTAGTATTCAAACCTTATGACAATAAACTTCCACTCAGTGTACATGATGAGAATGTTAGATAATCCCAAACAATAGGAAGTATGTATGCAATTAGTGATCATCAAAACTAAATGCAATTCAAGTTAGATTGTTGCCATAGAAACAAATATAAATTGTGAAGATTAATCATTTTCATAACAGGGTTTAGTCAAATCCATGCAATCACTTTTGGAATTGATCTCCTATAATGTAATTTGCAGTAAATTTGACAATGTGTTACTTAAATGAATAAGAGCATTATGGCTTAGTAAAAATAATGTATTTTTCTGTGTAAGGGGTGTGGAGCCTGCCTGATTCTTAATAATATAAGTAAATATATTGTCCTTCTGATGATTCATTAAGCCAAGGTATATCTGCCCTCTTAAGTGAACATGAAAGATCCCATTGCACTATTCTTTTTAGTGCACTGGAACATGTATAACTTTAACAGATATTGAAAACAGATCATCTATTACCATCTGTGGAAGCTCACTGTGCTCAATTTGACTGCCTTGTTTCTTACATTATGAATCTGATCACACGTTTGAAATGTCTTGGTCTTGTGATAAGCGGTATTGAAATGGAAAGGTTTCTTTATCATGAGGTCAGTTGGAGGCCAGATACAATGAGATTTTCACTTTTTTATGAATTTAGCAGGAAATGATTGATTTTCCTTCTCATAGTACGAAATAAATATTTTGCACGCATTTTCAAATGTGATGCCTTAAATAAAATAGATGCATTTAAAAACAATTAAAATGTTCTAACTTAGCTACAACCATACTAAAGTTTTGGATTGAAACCAATATTAGTGGAATAAGAAGGCAACTAACTGGCCGCATATAAATCGTAGTCAAAATTCCATTCATAAACAAAGTGCAGATAAAAGCTGTTGTTTCAAAACTTTGAATGTTCCTAAAGCAAGTTTAACAACGTCTGAGAATATCAGTGCAGCCCCCACCGCCGCCACCAAATCCCTCCCCCCAAAAACTGATTATCTTGGCACTTGGCATTAGTGCATTTCAGAATGAAAAATGGGACCGGCCTTTAAAATTATGCTGTATGTCCAAAAAGAGAACCTGCATTTATACAGTACACAGCCCATGCCAATGATGTACTACTGGAACATAGTTATTTATATAGGCAACATGGCAACCAACATGCACAGCAATCTCCCACAGAGAGTAATAGACTAAATTATTTGATCACCTAATTTTGGCACAGATTGAGGAATAAATATTTCCATGGTACCAGACCAACTCACTGTTCTTATCTAACTGTACAATATGATCATTTATTTCCATTTGAAAGGGCAGAAGAGTCCTTGGTTTAATTCGTCATCTGAAAGATGGCATCAAAAAGAGTGCAGCACTCTCTTAATACAACACAGGAGTGTCACTTGAAGTTATGTGGTCAAGTTCTGGAGAGAGACTTGATCCCATGGATTTATGCAAATACTGAAAAGATACCTACAACTATTACAAATGTAGGTGTCAGTGGCAGCATCACTGGAGCTCCATGTCAACTTTAAAGTACACAACATTGCCTTTATGTATAACAGGAAGAATATTCTGTGATTTCTACACAAAGGTCCTGCATTATTTAAAAGAGGTTAACTTTACAACTGCGTTTGGAGATGAAGTGAGATTCGATGCTAATGGTGATCCTCTTGCAGCGTATGATCTCCTGAACTGGCAGTTGGACCCAAATGGGAACATTAAGTATGTTAATGTTGGCCAGTATGATGCATCTGCTGAGCCTAAGAACCAACTTGTGATACAGGAGGAAGCTATAGTCTGGAATGGAGGACAGAAAATGGTAAGGAACAAGGGAAAATTAATGCTAATACCTCATTTAGTGCAACTGAAAGTTTGGGTGGCAAACAAATCACCAAAGTTGTAAGGATTATCTCAGCAAAATCTATATTCGCTTCCATCATAGTGATAAACCTCATGAAACAAGCAAGCAAAGATGGCCAACGAGAGTGGGAGCAGGTGATTGTATGTTCTTATCAGATTGAGAGGTGTCCAGTCGGAAAGAAGATTAAAAAAAATCAGGTGGATATAAAGGCAAAAGAGAAAGATTTAGGAGATGTACGAAGTGGTATTCGGTAAGATCTTGGCAATGCCCTTTGTGTGAAACAGGTAGAAATGAGTTGGCCATCCTTTTTACATGTCTCTCCATTTTGATGGAACTAAAAATGCTAACAATAGGTGAGCTGCCAACTCATAAACCATTGTTTCAATTATGACACACAGTCGAACTCTACTCCCAGTGAGAAACTGAAACAAAATGAATCTGAATGAAAGATTCATGCAGATAGGGTAATTATATCAAAAAGAGATTTTGATTAATCAGTTTCTGGAATTTCTGATATTGTGATTCCATATTCATGTTAAAACTTTGTGCAATCAGAAACATACATCAGTCAATCTGATCTGTATCAATATATCCATCATCAATTTATTTTTGTACACATGACAGATTTTGGATCCAACGTCAATATTTTCTCAGGAAGTTAAACAAACTGTATTCATAAATTATGACCTTCTGCATAAAGCAATCGTGTAACAAAATAGAAGGTTATTGTTCTTTACCTATCCAGATCATCGAATCAAAGTGCAGTGAAACTTGTTTGCCTGGAACAAGAAAAGGAGTCAGAGCTGGACTGCCAATTTGTTGCTTTGATTGTATACCCTGTGCTGAAGGCGAAATTAGCAATGAAACTGGTATGTATATCTATTTGCCTTTGTTTCTCCGTTTATGCATATAATTTATCTATCTATATATCATCATCTGTTCATCTCTTATCTTTATCTGTCTTTCTAGCTAACTATGACATTTGAGGATGAGCTAGTAAAGGATTAATTTATCTCATGATGTCTATTCAGATTAATCTGATATTACCATTATAAAGGGTGCTCTACAGCAGCATCACAATATGTTGAGTGTTATGTGGATTAATACTCATTGTTTTTATAGAAACTCAAAGGGAGAAATTGGACTTGGGAAAATACAGACCAATGGTCCAAAATCTTTAAAAAATTGCTCATGGGTTGTGGGCATTGCTGGCTAGGCCAGAATTTAGTACTAATTTCTAGTTACCCCAAAGAAGATGGTGGTGAGCTGTCTCCTTAGACAACTGTGGAGACATCCACACTGCTGTTAGGAAGGGACTTGCAGGATTTTGAATCGGTGACAGAGAAGGAACAGTGATACAGTTCTAAGTCAGTACAATATGTGGCAGGTGGTAATATTCACATCTGCTGCCCTGTCCTTCTGGATAGCAGAGATCATGAATTTAATAATTGCTACTGGAGGATCTTTGATGAGTTATTGCAAAGCATCTTGTAGATGGTACATACTGCAGACCAGAGTACATTGGTAGCAAAGGGAAATTGATGGGTGACATTCAAGTGGGCTGATTTGCTCTGCATGGTTTCAAGTTTCCTGAGTGTTTTTGGAGCTGCACATATCCAGACAACTGGGAAGGATTTCATCAGACAGTGGATAAGTAGATAGTGGATAAGTATTGAGGACACAGGAAGTGAGTTACTTAACACTGAATTCCTAGCCTATGACCTGCTCTTGTAGCCATAGTATTTAAATGGCTGGTCCAGTTCAGTTTGAATGTTAAGGGGTGATGTTTAGATTCATTATTCCAGATAGTTTTGGCACTGGTGAAATATAAATGTTACCTGTCACTTTCCAGCGGAAGCTGGAAGTTTACATAGAGACATATGCTGCTTCAGTATTCGAGGAGCTGTGAATGCGACTGAACGTTATGCAATCATTAGCAAACATCCCCACATGTGGCCTTCTAATGGAGAGAGTATCGTTGATGAAATAGCTGAAAATGGTTGGGCCTAGGACATCGGACCTCTTGTAGAGGTTGCCTGGAGCTAAGGTGAATCTCTACCAATAGCTTATTCCTTTGTTTTCCTAGTCTAAACAATGAAAGACTTTAAATGTAAACTATTACCTATTTCTTTATTTTTCAACTATTTTACAAAGTAATGGTTAACTTTTTAACCCTTGTTTCTCTTACTACTTTGTACTTAAGCTTTTTTTGTACCTAGGTACATTGGTACCTAAGATGGCACCACATGTGATGCCATTATACACTTCTCACTGTACTCCTGTATTTCTGTACTTGAGTACACATGACAATAAAATCTAAAATCTAGCCACAATTATGTTCCTTGATATGGCACAAGCCAGTGAAATGATTCCCATTGATTCCAGTTTTGCTAAGGCTCCTTGATGTGACACTCAGTTGAATGCTGCTTTGATGTCAAAGGCAGTTATTCTTACCTTACCTGTGGAGTACATGTTTTTCCATGTTTGGACAAAAGCTTTAATGAGGTCAGGAGCCAAGTAGCCCAAACAGAGGGTCAATAAGTAAGTTATTCCTCACAGGTCACACTTGATAGCACTGTGGGTTACCCTTTTACATGCTGCTTGACTTTCTTTTCCATGACTCCCAAATTGTAATATGCAATAGTACGTACGTACACAAGAAATTCATTTCTAAAAGTCCACATTGAGGCTAGGCCAGGAGCCCAAATATCCATTAGATTGTTGAAATAACTGATCCTAAGAGAAGACTTTGTCTGATTGATTGCTCTGGATTTCTGATTTCTTCATTAAATGCATAATGTTTTGAACACAAGATGTTTGCAATCTCTAAAACTGAAGTTTTGGAGTGTCTGGATGATTCACGCTTCTATTTCCCTGAAGTAAAGAGCTTTCTTATTCACAAAGTGGAAGATTATCAATGAATGACAGTTCTATTTAATAATGTGCTGCCATTCTAATGTTGCTATCAAGTACATTGTTTCCATCCAGAGTACACTGGATAAATGGACATGGAAGCGCCATAATTTAGTATGGGGGCATGGGCATGGGGGTGGCTGGTATACAAGTTGCATGGGGGTGTTGAGGGGTATGGTGTTTGAGTAAAAGAGCATGAGGTGGTATAGATGTAGCATGGTGTGAGTGCAGATGAAGGGTTGTGAGGGCTAGGAGGCCTTATGTTTTTCATTATAGCTGGGACAAAGGCCCAAATCACCAAAACTGACTTTTTAATACCTTTCCTCAGCATCCAGCTGTCCCTTTGTCTGCCTCAGTCTTCTTTCCTTGGTTCGCCTTCCCAGATGTACTCTATCTAAATCCCAGCTATGGGGCTGTTTCACCTGATTATCTTAAATCATGTCAAGAAATCATAATTTTAGGACCAGACATGTTGCCTTATTTTTAACAACATAAGAATGAGGAGCTGGAGTAGGTAATTCAGCCCCTCGAGCCTGCTCCACCATTTGATATGATCGTGGCTGATCTCACCTTGGCCTAAAATCCACTTTCCTATCTGCTCTCCATAACACTTCAACCCCTTACTAATTAAAAAATCTTTCTCCTCCTTAAATTTACTTAATGTGCCAATATCTACTGTACTCTGGGTTTAGTGAATTCCATATATTCACAACACTTTGTGAGGAGCAGTTTCTCTTTAGCTCTGTTTTAAATGCTACCCCTTATCCTGAAACTGTGACCTCCTGTTCTAGATTGCTGCACATGGGGAAACAACTTTTCTACAGCTTGTTATGATCTGGTTCAATCAATACAGATAGGCTTACCTTGACATTTACCGGAAAAAACATTCTGTGTTGTCTTCTGCAGATTCCGTGGACTGCTTCGTATGTCACTCCGATTACTGGCCAAACATAAGAAGAGACAAATGCATCCTGAAGGAAATTGAGTTTCTGTCATTTGGAGACACCATGGGAATCATTTTAACAACACTGTCTTTATTTGGTGCTTGTACATCAATGGCTGTTATAGCTGTTTTCTACTATTATAAGGATACGCCCATTGTCAAAGCTAACAATTCTGAGTTAAGCTTCCTTCTTTTGTTTTCATTGGTGCTCTGCTTCCTCTGCTCTCTTCTCTTCATGGGTCAACCGACAACCTGGTCCTGCATGTTACGACATACAGCATTTGCGATCATATTTGTCCTTTGCATCTCTTGCATTCTTGGAAAAACAATTACAGTATTAGTGGCATTCAGTGCAAAGTATCCCAATAATGATGTTATGAAATGGTTTATTCCTCTACCGCGAAGCCTTGCTGTGTTTCTTCTGCCATCAATTCAGATTGTGATATGTATTCTGTGGTTGATACTCTCACCCCCATTTCCAGCAAAGAATACTGAATATCAAAGTGTGACCATTATATTAGAATGTGACGTGGGGTCAGCAACAGCCTTTTATTGCATGTTGGGCTATATTGGTTTACTTTCTGTAATGTGCTTTATTCTTGCATTCCTAGCACGTAAATTGCCAGGTAACTTCAATGAAGCAAAGTTTATCACCTTCAGTATGCTGATCTTCTGTGCAGTTTGGATAACTTTCATCCCGGTTTACATCAATTCTGGAAAGTACACAGTAGCTGTTGAAATATTTGCAATATTGACTTCCAGTTTCAGCTTGTTGGCCTGCATATTTGCTCCTAAGGTTTATATTATTCTATTGAGACCAGAACTGAACACTAAAAGAAATGTAATGGGCAGGCCATCCTCTAACATATTTTGAATATGGGAAAATTAATTATCTCTGGCCTGCCCACAGACAAAGCTTGTAAGTGGTCTGACTTTTATTTACTGCAATGCTTAAGTTAGAATTTGCCATGTTTGTATATTCTAATTGTTGAAACATAGAGGAAACACCTTGGAACATGTACAAGAGAAAATAAACAGCAATATAAATATCTGAGAGCTTATTTAGCCTCCCACTTTCTCAATTCTATCAGAACAGTGACCTTACAATAATAAGTGTTCTAAACAATACTTAGCCTTCAACTAACGTCACTAAAATATTTTACCAGATCATTATGGCACTGATATTTAAAGGACCTTGTTGTGTGCAAATTGGCTGTTGTAATATCTACATTATAACAATGTCTACAATTTAAAATTAATTTGTTAAAAAGTGTTTGGGAACAATCACCTCTCCATTTCTGAGCATAATGCAATTCCGTGGCAACATTGTAATCTCTCAATGGGCACAATACCAAGAATTATATTTTTGGACCTACATCACAGGAATCCACTCAACTGAAAAGAGGAGTAGATATGATAAAACAAGAAATTTGGGCTGGGAGGAACATTAACTTGACTCTAAAGTAATTGCTTCCTCTGATTTAAAAAGAAGTAAATATAGAGATAATGATGGACTGGTAATAATCTTCCAACAATCCCAGAAGATTGGAAATCTGCCAATTTAACAACCTTATTCAAAAGGAAGAGAGACAAAAATGGGTAACCATAGCCAATTAGCATAACATCCATCATTGTTAAAATTTTATATTCCGTTATAGGGATGTCATGCAGGGCATTTAGAAATACATAATAAAATCAAGCAGAGTCAGCATTCCTTCATGAAAGGACAATTATACCTGTCAAACTTATTATAGTTATTTTAGGATGTAACAAGCTGAATAGATGAAGGGGAACCAGTAAATGAAATATATTTGGATTTCCAAAGGCCATTCAATAAGATGCCACAAAAAAGGTTACTTAATAAGATAATAGCCCATAATGTTGGGGGAATTTTATGGGTGTGAACAGAGGATTGGTTGACTAATAGAAGACAAAGAGTTGAGATAAAGGGGACACTTTCAAGATGGCAATCTATAGTTAGTGGAAAGCAACAGTGATCAGTGCTTAGGCCATAAGTATGTATGGTATATTAATGACTTGGATGATGGAAGTAACTGTATGATTGCCAAGATTGCAGATGGCATGAAAATAGGTGGGAAGGCAAGTAGTGAGGAAGAATCAATGAGTTTACAAGGCATGTAGCCATGTTAAGTTAGGAGGCAAAAATGTGGGAATATAATGTAGGAAAATCCAAGTTAATGTACTTGGCAAGAAGAATAGAAGAGCAGAATAGCATTTAAATGGGGTAAGAGTGTAGGAAGCTGCAGCACAGAATGATTGAGATGGGGGCTTCTCCTGCAAAATCACAAAAAAATTAGCGACCAAGTTCATCAGTTATTGGGGAAGGCAAATGGATTGTTGGTCTTCATTTCAAAGGCAATGGTGTATAAAAATAAGGAGTTCTTGCTAAAGCTATAAAAGGCACTAGTCAGAGCACACCTGGGGTATTGTGAACAGTTTAGTCCCCTTATCTGAGGAAAGATAAACCGGTATTGGAAGTGGTCCAGAGAAGTTTGATCAGTGAGTGGCTTGGGGGGAACTTGAAGGTAGTGGTCTTCCCATGTATCTGCTGCCCTTGTCATTTAAATAAAAAGGGATGTTCTTATGAGGCGATTTTGAATTGGCTTGGCTTCGTTTGGAGTTTAGAATGATTACTGGAGACTTTATTGAAACATTGAAGCCTGGTACAGGGAAGATGAGGTAACCATGGCTGACTAAGTAAGGAAGTCAGGGATAGCATAAAAGCAAAAGAGAAAGCATATAATGTGGCAAAGGGCAGTGGGAAACCAGAGGACTAGGAAGCGTACAAAGACTAACAGAGGGCAACAAGTAAAGAAATAAGGAGGGAGAAAATTAAATATGAGGGTAAGCTAGCCAGTAATATAAATGAAGACTGTAAGAGTTTCTTTAGGTATATAAAGGGCAAAAGAGAGGCAAAAGTGGACATTGGACCACTGGAAAATGACAGTGGAGAGATGGTAGTGGGAGACAAGGAAATGGCTGAGGAACTGAATAATTACTTTGCATCAGTCTTCACGGTGGAAGACACGAGTAATATTCCAAAAATTCAAGAGAGTCATGGGGCAGAGCTGAGTGTGGTGGCCATCACCTAGGAAAAGGTGCTAGTAAAACTGATTGGCTTGAAGGTGGACAAATCACCTGGACCAGATGGACTACACCCCAGAGTTCTAAAGGTGATAGCTGAAGAGATAGTGGAAGCATTAGTGGTGATCTTTCAGGAATCACTAGAGTCAGGGAGGATCCCAGAGGACTGGAAAACATGACGCCCCTGTTTAAAAAGGGCGTAAGGCAAAAGACGGAAAATTACAGGCCGATTAGTCTCACCTCAGTCGTGGGTAAGATTTTGGAGTCCATTGTAAAGGATGAGATTGCTGAATATTTGGAAGTGTATAGTAAAATAGGGCAAAGTCAGCATGGTTTCATCAAGGGGAGCTCATGCCTGACAAATCTGCTAGAATTCTTTGACGAAGTAACGAGCATGGTAGACCAAGGAGAGCCAAGTGAGTGGCTTGGAGGGGAACTTGAAGGTAGTGTTCTTACAATGTATCTGCTGCCCTTGTCATTTGAGATGAAAGAGATTGTGAGGTTGGAAGGTGTTATCTGATGATCTTTGGTGAATTTCTGCAGTGCAATCTCGTAGATAGTACACACAACTGCTAACTGAGCGTCGGTGGTGGAGGGAGTGGATGCTTGTGGACGTAGTGCCAATCAAGCTTCTTGAGGGCTGTTGGAGCTGCACTCATCCAAGCAAGTGGGGACCATTCCATCACACTCCTGACTTTTGCCTTGTAGATGGTGGACAGGCTTGGAGATTCAGGAGGTGAGTTACTCATCGTAGTATTCCTAGCCTCTGGCCTGCTCTTGTAGTCACTGTGTTTATGTGGTGAGTCCAGTTGAGTTTATGGTCAATAATAACCCCCAGGAAGTTGATAGTTGGGGATTCAGTGATGTAACACATTTGAATGTCAAGATTGGTTTGTAATCTCCATGCACACAGCAATTAATATTTTCCCCTTCATTCACATCTTTAGAAGATAAGTAGAATCATCAGTCAGCATCAGTGACTGACTTTCGTCAGTGTGCTTCAAAATCCTTATTGGTTTACCTCCTTGATTTGAAAAATAAGTAAACATCATCCCTTATCAGATAAAATACACCAGTGATCTGATTTTCCTTGTCAATTTCTGAAAAAGAATTTCGGTGCTGTCGTTACAGTGTCTCTCTTGTTACATTCTAAGGAAATGTTCTCTTTGTATCACTGCAACTGTTTTAGTGTCTACTTCCTTTCCTGACATCTGAAGTCTCCTGAGATTTTTCCTATTACTGCAACTGATTTCCCATTTAGTTTCCATCCACTGCCTTTGTTTCAGCAATGAAAGCATGTTAATTTCTTTAAATCATTTTTTCATTCTAACCATTATCATTTGTAAATTTGCGTCCTTCTGTCTGTTCTCTAAAATGAGTGCTTCTTACATCTGCAGATTCTGTATTCCTCCAACAGGTGAGTTTCCCAAATGACCATTTCCCACTTGTAATTGCAACATATATAGGTATCTGCCAAAGCTACTTCACTGATCTTGAATACTTGATGTTCATCTAAGTAAGTTTTTAACTTTGCTATTTCATGATTCTTCCATGTTCACAATTTCCCTTACATACTCAAAACTTTCCTCTCACTTGCATGACCTAAACTGTCGATCCCACAGCATTTCTTTCTCCCTTGAAAGTTCCATAGATGTCTTAGTTTTCTTTCTTGTCCCCTGAAGGAATTGGAATCTTTGCAGGAGCTACTATCTCTTTCTTCCATCTTTGTTCTCAGCTCTTCTCTTGTTAACTCATGTTCTCCAATTACTTAACTCTTTAGAGTTCAAATTTTCATAATTGCATTTCTTTTTTCACTTTTTTCTCTCTTTGCATTATTCATTGTTTTACTTTCTGTTCTCTTTCTGATATTTTCTGGTTTTTCATTATCCTCTCATTCCATTATTCCCCATAGTTTTATTTTCATGATTTTCTAATTCAACTCTTCTCATTTCTGTTTTCCTGTTTAAGTATAGTTATGTCATTTCTAACTCAATCTTAGTTAATTTCAACTGTGATAACTGAATTTCAAGTTTCCTATCTACTAATTTTAAGTGTACAGTCCCTTCACCATGCCCATGCTGACTGTAGTGACATAGTGACGGCTTTGCTAAAATTTTGTTCCCTATGCATTGCAAAGCACCATTGATTGTTTATCCTGAGTTACACTGAAAGTTAGTAGTGTGATTGAATGTGGTGATGGTGTTTAGTAAGGAATTCCCAGATTTGAAGACAGAAATGATGAAGTGTTGATGGTGTAGAACAGTCAGATTGCTTTGTGTCTGGACAGAACTTGAGATGATGACATTTCCAAGATGTTGGTGTGTTTGTTTTTCTTTGCTGTAAAATGCAGTGGTTCTATGAAGTGCTGTTGAGGTAAAGCACTCAAGAAAAAACAATGCTATCATTTTAAAGTTACTGTAATGCATTCAGAAATGTTTGGCATTCTCACAGACTAAAATAATGCTAAGCTGCAGGTGGACAAAAATTTTATAACATTGCAAACCTTCTGAAATTATCTCTGGACCTTCTTATTTCTAAGATCCTCCATTGAAAAGGATTCAAAATTAACTTTTTGTGTCCAGTGAGCCATCAAGGAAACTCATGCTGGCAAAATAACTACAATAGCCTAAATAATAACAGTCACTATGGTGCAAAAAGGTCAATTCATTTTGCCTGAAATGTTTTGAATGTTTTTGAAAGAAGGATGGATCATAATGAAAATGTGCATCTTCCGGGCCAGGTACTGTCCGGGTTAATATTAACTAATTC